GATGAAGCCGACCAATCTAGTTAAAATTGGATTGAGAATTACTATAATTGGTAAGTAGAGTCGCGAGTATGAAGCATGACTGGTGTCAATTTTTACATAAAAAAAAACTTCCAGCTTGAAGGACGGTTTGCCTCCCTTAGATTTTATTACAGTTCAGACATTTTATCAGTATAGTCTGAGTCTCATCAAAAGTTTGTACTCACCAAACTGAAACAGAACGTGAGCAGAAACAGAAAGCCTAACTTTGTTGAAGCATCAGCGAGGTAATTCGTTTAAGTTAATTTTAAAAAAATACAAAATATTTGTTTGTTGGTAGTTAAGCACAAAGCTACACAATAGGCTATCTGTGCACTGCCCACCACGGGTATCGAAACCCAGATTCTAGCGTTGTAAGTCTGCAGACATACCGCTGTGCCACTGGGGGGGGGGGGCTGTAGTGTCTTGCAAACTAATTGATTACTGTCAAGGAAATAAAACTAATTGAAATTAGGGTTTCAATATTGCCATTATGTTTATTTGTTGTTAAGCACAAATCTATATAATAGGGGTGGGGGGCCCTCGTGATTTGAGAGTCTCTGGTTCGATTCCCATTGCTACTAAACTTGCTCATCTTCTCTGTTATGAAGCATTTGTGCCACTGCCACTAATTTTAAACCGGTGAGGGGAGACAAATGGCTTGTACCACGCCAACTTTCTGGCTACGGTGTTAAATAAGGCGTAAATGTACCTGTTTATTGCACATTGTTTTAACGTTTCTTATCTAGATTTGAACAATTGTATTGCGAACTCCCCTCTGCCAGTTTTTTTCAGAAATTAATAACTGATTATTTAATGGCGTTTAAACAGACACGGAGCTAGGAGATCTGACTCTCTCCATTTTTTCTTCTGGAATTAATAACTATTCCTTAGTGATATATAAGTAAGTGCTGCCCTAGGGGGCCTAATCCCCTCATTTTTTTTCAAGAAATAATAACTTTATTCTTCAAATGTTTTATTTACAGGCGTGGATCTAGGAAGCCAAACCCTCTCACTCATTTTTTTCGAAAAATTGATAACTGCATTATTATGGTGACAATGTTAAACCAACTGGTATTATTCCACTTTAAAAATGAAACATTACTGCTGCAGTAATGTGGAGAAAGTTAAGAATTGTTCTTACACAGTTATGTTTGTCATAAGATATTATGTTAGGCTTATATTTTTTAACACTACAAACATAATCCAGTGCTTTAGGGATTTTCAAGGATTAGAAAAGTGTATAATAATAGTATTTCAACCACAGATATTCGTCATATCCTTTGTTGACGTATTATGAGAAATATAATTCGTTATAATCATGCTTTGCCACCTTGTAAAAAATGTTCACATCATAACATTATCTGAGGCTCTCTACTTTTATTCTTATTCATTCCGTTATGGTGTTTTCAAACCTTGTAAGATAAAGTTATACCTATCCAAAGTTTTGTTTTACAAGATACATTGATGCTCGTAAAATAACAAATTGTCGTGTTTTAAAGAACAACAATAACAACAACAACATTTTTTTGTTGTTGTCTCTCAAAATCTGTAGTGCATACAAAGATTTTATCAAAACAACAAACTGTCAGAAGTCTTAATACTGGTGAAACTAGTTTCGATACATTTGTTTGTCATTTTCAGTCTCACGTTGTTTTCTGGTAGGAAAACTGGTCAACAACGCCTACACGATCCAGGGATTTTGAATCCTTTAAGTACACATGCCAGGAAGTTGTTCAGCTTAAAAAATGACCTTGGGAGATGTTGATATACGACAGGATATTAATTAATTAAACAACTTTCGACGATACTTCTATTTATTTTATGTACTTACTTGTCTTGAATATATTTCTTGTCGATTTCCAATTATGAGATGACCAGAATCTCTCATATGAAGAAAACTTGCTTTGTTTGTATTTCATATTTAATGTTGGGAAACTCTTGTGTTCACTCTTCTTCCGGTTTCATCTACATAACAGAATTGGCAAGCTGTAATATAATCACATTTTTTTAGTTTCATGTTTGTTTGTTATGGATTTCGTGCAAAGCTACACGAAAAGCTACACGAGGGCTATCTGCGCTAGCCGTCCCTAATTTAGCAGTGTAAGACTAGAGGGAAGGCAGCTAGTCATCACCACCCACCGCCAACTCTTGGGCTCGGTGGGTGGTGATGATTAGCTGCCAACTCTTGGGCTACTCTTTTATCAACGAATAGTGGGATTGACCGTCACATTATAACGCCCCCACGGCTGAAAGGGCGAGCATGTTTTGGTGGGACAGGGATTCGAACCCGCGACCCGCAGATTGCGATTCCTGGTCAAGCAGATGTAGCTATGTGATCTAACGACGAAATAAAAACCCTCCCGTAAGTTTAAACGAGTTAGTTCACGAGATATAGTTAAAACTTATTATTGCTGATCGTTACTCGATATTGTTATTAATCTTGAAGTTATATAAATTCACAATATTACTGCTTTTTTTTAAATTAGGTTTTCTCTTATTCTTTAACTTTTTCTGATTCCTAAAATAATTATTAATCTTAATATATTTATGTGGTATTGTTCATTACCATTTGTATCAAGTCCTGGCCAAACACATATTTATTAACTGTGCGTTTGGTGAATGATAAATTTTACAACTGTTTGAAAGTTTAATTTTGAATTTCTGTGGTTGTCAAAGTTTAATTAATTCGTTTCCTTTTTTTCTCGACCTAGGTTTTTTATTAATATTGTTGTGAAGTCCTGGTTAGGCATTTATTTATTAACTGT